ATTAAAGCACCCTTATTCCATATTATAAAGACATATGATAGAAAAAAAACCTTTAACTTTATTAGATTTTTTTCATACTACTATTTAGTTACTTTTGTTTAAGAATTGCAAGTGTTGGCTTAGATGACAACATCAGACTTAAACACTTCACCTTTTATATTTAAACGTAACTCCTGTGGCTAATAATTTATTAAAGTTAGTGTCCTTAAAAATCAAATTTGCAGATTTAATTTTACTAAAACCCTACCTTTTCAATATTCTCTTTCATTTTTTGGTAAATTAAAAAGATTTTTTTTAACAGATATCATGGGGTTCGAATTCAACTCTAAAAATAAAGAAGAGCATTGCACTTTAACAAAGTGTTAAAATTTGTTCGATTCAATAGGTTAGGTACAATTAAAAAGTTTGTTTAGTATTATAAAAATTTTAATTTTTAATTTTATTTTTAAATTAAAGTTTTTAATTAATAGGTGACCATTCGATTAAGCCATTGCTAGTATATGTGGCAAAGGACTCGTTGTTGGCTGTAATTGTCGATCGATATTAATGAGTTCTATGACTTCCATTTTGATTTTTTATAATTTTAGCTGGAAAATGACGGATAAATAAATCAATTTTAAATGCGTCGACAGATTGCAGTAAACTGTTCCCGTCAGGAAAATGATTTCTTTTAATGTGAGGGCGCCCACAGACTAGGTCTTCATGGATTTTTTTTTTTTTTTTTGATACTCATCTCAACTATTTAAAATTCATATTAAATTTTAATTAATAAAAAATATAATTAAATAAGATTTTATAAATAAAAATTAATATATATTTTTTATTTATAAAATTTAAATTTAAAATGCTATTTAAAAAATAAAATTATTTCTATTTAAAATAACAAATCCTCGGTGCTTTGAAATCATAGTACTAACACAACAAGTGGTGCTAAATCCATGTAGCACGAACACTAGAAAAAGGCTATAAACCAAATGATTGATACTTTGTGGACCCTTATATGATGCATTACATTGTTCATGTATAGAC